ACCCCAAAATTCCCACAGCAAGAATGGTGGGCTGGGAATTTCTAAGATTTAAAGTCCACACATCTTCAAGTGACCAAGGTTGAGAAACACTGATCTAAACTTTTGAATTATGGTATGTCTGGGAATTATCGGGTTGAGGAAAGGCTGGTTTAGGGTGCTGCTTTGTGGACTACTTGACTTGAAATATTTATAGAAAAAAGCAGCCTTCTGGCCTGCAAGATTCTGAGGGTGACCCTGAAATTATTTGGTCCTTGGGGCTTTTTGAATCCCCCTTTCTATGAAGAGTAGAAATGGAGCCCCTTGCTTTACTCTTAAAAATTCTGTTTTTAACAAAGTCTTCAATTAACACAGTTCACATTACAGTTGGGTCATAGGGCAGGATTTGTGGTAGGCACACTGAGGCTTGCAACAAGTCTTGCTTTGTTAAGAAACATTCAGCAGTGATATTTCTGTCATGGTTTGGGGATTAACAAGGCCTTTATTTGGCAGATACTTAAATTGGTATCTCAGCTTCCTACTTTCAGCTCTTTGTTTTCATTCTCCGTTAAACGGTACTATTTATTAAGGCACAGCATATGTTCAATGGGTTGCATGAATAAAATGAAAGCAAAGCAATTAAAATCTGAGCTTAGGTTTTAATAGTTCATGAAAATGATGTATCTGTTTTTGTGCCTTGATATTTTATAGCACAAAATGTAGTATGGGATTGGAGAGATTCCTGAAATAAATAGAATGGTGTAGCTTAAGCTACACAGGCGTAGAGATTGTGTTGGTTTGCCTAGGATGGTGGTGAGCAATGTTGGAGAGGGTCAGAAGGTGCAAGTCAGCTGCTCAGCCCTTCAAGTAAGCATAGGATGCCATCTAGTAATATTGAAAAAGCAATCAATAAATTCAATTTATTTTGATCAAAAATCAGAAACAATTTTTTTTAAAGGATAAAGGGACATTTAGACATCAGACAGCTGTAAAAAGCAGCCTGAAGAGACCCAGGGGACCATATTGCTCAATAGAACCTAGGGCATTTGGTTAGTGATATTGACAGCTGTCTCAAAACTTGGCAACCTTTACATGTAATAAAAGTGTTCTTGTCAGATCAAAGAAAAGTAACATAACATTCATGGTGTGATAGCCAAGAAAAGATGAATTCTCCCCTAAATCAAGAACTCCTTTCAAACAACAGTAGGACAGTAGGCAAAGAGTTAGGCCAATATTTTATCTGACTGAAGTGTTTTCTGCTTCCACCAAGAACTATTTCTTAATGTAAGGGAACAATCAAAGTAATATGGTAAATTTTTAGCTTGATAAGATCTATTCTGCAATTTCCAACCTTTGGAGGAGGGAAGTAGTTGTGTGTATGTATGTATGTATTTACTCAATTTGTACATCTGCCCATCTCAAACACATGACTCTGGGTGGCTAGCAATGATTAAAAACAAAATAAAAACATTATAACAAATCAATAAATAACATGCACTGCAGCCAAGATAAAAAAACTAACCAACCACAATTAACATAAGCATGATATGGGCTCAGCTGTACTGTACCTCCTTTTACTTTCAGCTACTTTATTGTTTTACTTTCAGGAACTCTGCTGCTTGGGTTTGAGTGTCTCAGTATAACATAGGACAGTACTGTACTTTCATTTCTGTGCTACAAGTTCTGCTGATATGGTAAATGATGATTGAGACACAAGAATGAAATCCTTCTTGTACTGTCTTTTCATGACCTCCAGGTTTTGTTGCACTACAGTACTCATCATCTCCAAACAACATGGCCAGATATAAGATTTATAGTCCAACAACATCTGAATATTTAAATTGGGGGAAATGGAAATAGACTAGGGGTATAAAACCTCCTTCAGCTGAGGGTTACACATGGCATTTGAGTGCCCTCCTCCAAAGAAAACAAAATTTAATGGAAATTAGATTAACCAAATCCAGTACATATGACTACTCCACATGTAGTTAATAATTTCTAACTTCTGTTAAATTAAAAATTATAATTCGTTGCAATTTTTGAAGATCATGTCCATGGTTTGAGAGGGACTGCATCTAATGCAGGAATTGTTGGTTATGCACTAGAGCGGGCCTGCACGACTTGTAGAGAAGAAAGGGCCAGGCTGATAAATGAAAAATAATCATGGACTGCAAAGGAATAGCTGGTACACTGATCAGCTGTTTGGCAGTTAGCAGAGTGGCAGCGGTGCTGGAGCTGGTGGTGTTGGTGAGGCTTGGAGGTATTGGAGGCACTCAGCAGCAAGTCTTTTGAGATGGCAGTGGCAGATCTTTCCTAGGAGTAGTGACATTTGGCAGCAGTGAATGTATGGAGTTTTTAAAAAACATCAGTGAGCTGCCCAAGGCTGGTTGGTGGGCTGTGTATTGTGCAGTCCTGCACTAGAGGAACCAGAATAGATGGGGTGCATGTGAGGGGAGGGGAGTTAAGACTTTGCAACAAGGAGGGGGGCAAGCAGCTTTGTCCTGAATGTCCAGTTCTGAAGATACTAAAATTTTGTTTTAAATGGCATGACACAGTGGAATTAATATATGTAAATAACAATCAGTAGAATATTTGCAACAGTTCTGAGCTGGGGAAGAGGAAAACCTGTACTTGCTTGTAGTAGTGACTACTATGATGCATTATATTTAAAATACTTTGATAATAAAATGTTGTGTTATTAGAATAAAAAGTGATGTAATGCTATGACTGCTGTTCCTAATGAATTTATATTATATTGATGTCAGCATTTCCTTTAAGGAGCACACAATGTAGATAGAATAAAAGAAACAAGAGTTAACATTCATATTTGAAAATGATTTTCAGAATTGAGAATCATAATAATTTGCCATGTATATATCCAAGATCCCCAATTCTGAGATAATTTCTGCATGAGCACTACTAGTTGTCCTGCTGAAATGTGACTTTCTGATAAATTCATTACATTTTGTTTGCTCTGCATGTTTTATTAAGGTGTCCTCAAAGATTATTTAAGGGAGTTGCCTTCTCCATTGATAACCAAACAACTTTATGAAGCAGTGTTGGATGCCATGGTGAAAAAACCTTTGAAAATGACAGCAAATGGATGTGAAAATGATTCTAATGATTCAGAATATACAGTGGCTCTTTTGGATTGCCTGCCAGAAGTTGAGAAAGTAAGTATTGTTGGCCCATTGATCTAGTGCATGGCTTTAGGAGTATCACATCTCTTTCTCCCTCCTTCTTTCCCTCTTTGAGAATAAAACTTTGATGTGACTTTCGCCTGACTTCAATTAAGTAGGCTCAATGGATTGATTCACAAGATGTTAGACTACATCAGGGATTCTCAATGTTTGTGATACCATGATCTCCTAAAATGATAAATGCATTTGTGTAGCCCCACCCCCCATGAATAACACTAATGATTTCATTAGAGTTAGGGTTCAGCAAGAAATAAATATACCATTTATTTTTAATAATTAACATTTAATCTCTATGTCACATAAAATGACGATAGAACCTTAAACCTTTATAAATAAAAACTTTTCATTGAAATAATAAATGAATGACATGTAAAACCTTATTTTTTAATAGGAATGATGAATTCGGTTAATTTTGCATCATTAGTCACTCTCAGTTCGTGTTCTACATTTGTTTTGGATTGATTTTTGCTTTTTATAGCAGCAATTGTAGAAAATGAGGACTCTGCTGCCAGCTTGTTGAGGGAACAAATTCTGACAGTGATCTGGACTTGCATGCCCATTGCTGGAGCCCTGTCAGAATTTTCTTTGGCATTGCTTGTACAAACCAGCTGTTGACTTGCCAGGCAGAATGACAAGAAGAACTGCCAGTGATCCAGCCTTGCACGTGTAAGCCATCAAACTATATTCAAAGCTTTGCTTTATGCTTTGCTTGGGCAAGTTGTCTGCCAGCTTGTCCAGGCAGAATGTGGGAGCAAGTTCTGGTAGTAACTCAACTTTGTAAATGTAAGCCATTAGGTTTGCAAAGTCACTCTGTTAAGGAGATTTGTTGGAATTGTTCCATAACCAAGCTAGTCTATATGCTATAGCAGGATATGGGACATGTCCTTATAGACCCAGCATGAAACTTGCATGCAGTTGCACTGAAAGAAGGAACATTCAGGCATTCCTTTAGAAAGATTCACCAGCCTGCCTAACCCTAATCCTTCTGAACCCTCAGTGTGTTGTTAAATTGTACTTGTTAAGGAGAAGGGAATTAAAGGAAGAGATATGAACAGTGAGATTTTGGGGTTTTCCCTTACTGCTGTTGTCTGATGCCAGCTAAAGGTAAACAGCTATATAACCATTCTTCTCCTTGAACTATTTGCTGCTGCAACTCCAGAAAAAACGGTACAGCATGCTGGCTGGGGAATTCCTGGAGCTGAAGTCCACACATCTTGAAGTTGCCAAGGTTGAGAAACACTGACCTAAAGCCATTTCCCCTCACTCCTTTAGGCTGATTGCAGCAGGTGATCCTGTTTGTGCAGCCTCTTTCAACTCTGTTGCTAAGCTTATTCATTGCCAAAAATCACAGCTTTTCTTTGTATTTCCATGCCTTCACCCAGCAGATCCCATGTAATAAGCAAAGGAAATCACATGAAAGGGACCATGTGCCTTTAAGGGCTCCTGCTTGGCATTTCTCATCAGGAGTCCAAAGTGGGGCAGGCCTTGTGAATTCAGATTGGAGGGCATTTATCCTGGACAGTGTGGGGAGGAAAGACTTGTTATGCATGTGCAAAGCAATCAAATGATCAGATCAGTTTGGAGGTAATAATTCGATCCAATGAGTTGCTTAAATCCAACCTCCAAATCACATCTTTGCACTGCCCTATAATACCAAAGGATATAATTCAAGCTTGTGGTAGAAACAAATGGTTTTAAAGCAAAGTAGAACACAGTGAATATTCAACAAATATTATTAAAAATAATGCTATTAATTTGGTAATAATAATAAATTTATTACATTTATGTGCTGCCTGACTCCCTTTGAGTCTGAGTGGTAAGTTACTATACACAAGCCTTTTCTCCTGGCAAGCTACCATTTTCAGGCACCCCTACCTTAAATATGCTGCTTAATTAATTTTATACGCTGTCATAATATGCCAAAGTACAATGTGGAAACTTAACCTTCTGTCAAGGAGAATTCAGTGAAGGGAACCAGCTGTACCCTTTTATGGGCAGACAGCTAGACAAAGGAAACATTTTTTTAGCAGAGTTGCTTCCCTCAAATCTCACAAAAAGGTGGTTTTATTTATCATCAGCATCTTTCCCATTCTTTTTGATGATGCTTTGACTTTAACCCTAGACATGGTTACTTGACAATACAGTCCTCTTTCTGAGTAATTTTGGTTATGATAGGGCAGTTCATAAACTCTTGCTTTCAGCTGATAAAGACTAAGGGGCTATCTTGCTTAATAAATAGCAAAAATACTCTGGAAGTTGATTAAATTTTCTTCCAGCTTTGCAGTGGAATGCCAACATAGATTTTATATCTGCTTTCACTAGGATAGTACCTTAAAAAAAAAGAGCGACAATTTATTCACCAGGCAGTCTTAAAGATCTGCAATAGCTGTTGCAAATAAAGAACTATATACTGTACAATAAAGCAAAAAAAAGAAAAAGAAAAAAATTATTGGGCCGGGAAAGATACTTTTCTGAAACTCCAGAGGGCCTAATCAGATAATAATTTTGAGCTGGATTGTTCGGTATTCTGATTTTGATAATGCAGCTTCCTGTGTTCTTAATTAAATGGTGGAAACCTCTTATGATGTTTGTTGGTTTTGGCACAGCAAAAATTATCTGATAATATCAGAGAAAGGGAAAGTTTGACTAGGAGCCCAAAAGGCAAACAGATTGGGGGAAAGGAATCTTTTTGCAGAAGAGATGAGTCCCAACCAAACATTGCCAGCCATTTAATTCAGTACCAGTGATGGGGCAGAATTTCTGTGTTATTTAATTTAATTTCAATGCTGTGCTATTACATTGGTCCCTGGGACCAGGGTGATTGTTAAAGCCTTTCCCCAGGGCTGAAGTGGTGTTTCATGTGGTTTACTCCCAGGTTAGTATGCAGAGAATTACAGTTCATTGGCCTTTGCAAAATATTTCCTTAGGGATATGTACAGAATGTTGAGCTATCTTATGTGCTCTTTTGCTTCACAAAGAGGTATTCGTGAAATGTTATCTTCTGTGGACACCACAACTGGGCATGAATTACGATGTTGTGTCTGCATTAAAGGGACAAGGCCTTCAATAATATTGCCCCCCCCTTAATTAAACATTTTTTCCTGCAGATAATTAACCAGTGCCCTTCCTCTTCTTTTTTTATTTTAGGCAACCCTAAAGATGCTCTTGGACCATCTGAAACTGGTGGCTTCATACCATGAAGTAAATAGAATGACTTGCCAGAATTTAGCTGTGTGTTTTGGGCCCGTGTTACTTAGTCAGTGGCAGGAAACTACCAGCCATAACAACAGAGTGTTCACTGATTCAGAAGAACTTGCCAGTGCCTTGGATTTCAAAAAACATATAGAGGTTTTGCATTACCTGCTCCAGTTGTGGCCAGGTAAAAAATCTTGGTGGAGTTGTAAATGGAGAACATTTAATTTCTTTCAAAGGGATCTGTTAATCTGTTGCAGTAAAAGCAGTGGAGTCTTTTGCATTGTTTAAACTTTTTTTGTAGCATAAGCTTACAAAGACAAATTTATTATGCCATATTATTTTTACCTATTATTATGGCAAATCTATTATATTATAACTATGCTACCGTAACCATTTTTCGCTTCATTAGATATATAAAGTATTGTCTTGCTAATGTATCCTTTCACTTTTGCACCCATTCCAGGCTTGTGTAGATTATCCTTAAGTTTCTCTGAAATATAGATGCGAAATTTTTTTTTGCACCCATGGCAAGAAGATAAGATCCACCCATCCAAAACATCTAGAACTGCGTGTTTATTACCAGTGCTCTGAAGTGTCCCTGTTGACTTAACTCATAGGCTATACTCCTTGCCACTGTGGCTCTGTATGTCCAAAGAGCATCTCCTGTTCATGAGCCTTGTTTTTCTTTTCTTTTTTCTTTTTTTGGCTTGGGGGCTTGGGGGCTTCTGCCATTCCCTTCTTTCCCTTTACTTCTTACTTAATAACCTTGTTTCTAGCAGCAGCTTCTCTCAGGCAGATGCTTAGGGGCTTAACTTTTGGCCTTGCATTAGCTTAAGCAGCTAATTTTCAAACAGATATGAGTAGGTTAGACTGAAAGGCCCAAAATGTTTTTGGAGCAGTGGATCTCTGCTTTAGCAACAGCATCTTCTGGTGGTCACATGTATAATGCCACCATTTGGAAAGACAAACTTATCTACAGCATTACTTTGAAGTCTTATTGCTATTATGATGGCCAGGTTGTCAGTTGAACAAAAGCCAAGATGTTTTTTTCCAGTGTATGGACAAATTATATTATCTGCTCAAGCAAAACATGGAAATAAGCAATATAACTGCTTGACTGGTGATTCAAAATAGAGTTATTAACAATCAGATCCTTAAAGAAGGTTTTTCTCTATAAAGGTATCTTCTGGATGACCAGGTGTATATTGTCAAAAAAATGAACTAGCATAAGCTTAAGAATTTCAGCCCCTTCTGTAACTGTAGGATATCATGCCAAGTCCTTTGGCTTTTCAAAGCTTTAATTAAACATTGTGGAGTGAGCTCTGTTCCTGTGAAGGAGTAAAGCCAAGCATGAGCTCTCAAATATTAATCCACTGATGAATTTGAAAAACTTGATAACTATGCTTGTGACCCACTTCAGCTTCTCTTATTTATTTATTTATTTATTTATTTATTTATTTATTTATTTATTTATGGAAAACTCATGGTCCTTGTTTATTCAGAAAACATAATAATGCTGGTACTTAAGGTTTAACACATGAGCCCTTTGTTTTAAGGAAAAAAGCCTAAACAGAAGAGCTTTTGTTGATGTGCATGTTTTCCAGAATTGTTAGACAAGTAAGATATACTCACTTCCAGGGAGATATTTGAGCCTGAGTGAAAGTTTACTCATGTGATTATCTAAGAAAGTGACAGGTTGCATATGTTGGCTCCTACCTTGTTATGTGTAGGAGTTACCTTTTTATATCACAGTATGCTCCCTTAAGCTTCTGAAGGAAAATCAGGGTTAAATATAATGAAGACATAAAATAAATAATATGATAACAACTGGCAGATACTATTAGAAATTGCACAGCCACTGCAGTCTATGATGGGGCTTTGAAGAGAGATCTCACACAAAGCTTGGCAAGATAGATATGCTAGCCCAGTAGTATAGATAGGTCTGGTGGACCAGATGTTTTCCATCTGTAATATAAGAGGCTGAATATATATGTTTAAGTCTTGAAAGTGCAATCTTCTTTTGCTAACTATCCACCCACTACAATGGCACTTACTCCTCAGTCATTTTTTCACCTTTTAGCCTCCATGTCATACAAGATCTTTACTTAGCCCCATTATCTTCCTTCTACATTCTTTACAACAAGCTTCCCCTGCACATTCATCAGTTTTTACATCTTCTGAAAAGACTAGCTAGGGAGATACAACTCCCTCCATCCAGTTCTGTGAGAGAGTTCAAAGGTCCCCCAGCTTCTTTTGGACCTTGAAAACTTTCCATTAGTCTGTGCTGCCGTTTTCTCTCCATTCCTTATCAAGTCTTACTGACAGAGTTAAGCCTTCTTGGTAGGAATGGAACCTCTTCCGTGCTCCACAAAGTAGCCAGAATATTGTTGTAAGGGAAAATAGTAAGAGAGAACCATTAGTACAGGGAGATGCATGAAACAGAAACTTTTACAGTTGAAATATGTAGCAGTTGTTGGTGAATAAAACATTTGTACTGTTTACCATAGGAAGACGATAACAAGAGGAGACTCTTAGTTTATAGAGCTGTAAAACCATGAGTTCAGGTAACAAAAGTACCAAATGTGTGTTTGTTTTGCCTGCTTTTTCTTACATAGATTGTAGATCGCATTTGGAAGCTCTTCTTTGAACTGTACTGTGATTTTGGTCTGTGATTAACTTGCAAAATTAACTTGCAAAGTTAATCAGGGAACTTCCAATTTTAATAAATTCCTCCAGTGGCAGTAGACAAAGGCATGGTAGTTTTAAGATGAAATGTTTACTAGTTGGCTTTTCCTTTTCAATATAACTTGACTGGCTGGTACCAAAATCAGTACAATAGAATTATTGGCTGTTCAGTGTGCATGCATAAATGCATGTTCCAAGTCATAGACCAGTGGGGAAAAAAAATGTCATATGACTGCTTTCTTTCAAGACTTACTGTTAAGCTAATACGAATTCCAATTATTCTTTATCATAGTGCAACATTCATCTGCCGAAGAGTCAGTGTTGCTGGAGCAGCAGTCCTCCGTGAACTATCTAAGGCCTAAGAAACAGCGGCCTCAAATGTTAAATTTAAACAGCACTGAAGTGTCAGGGATCTTGCGATCCAGGCCAGCCAGACTGGATAGCCCTTCGAGCAACCGCTATGCTGGAGACTGGACTGCTTGTGGAGAGAACTACTTTGTCAGTCCCAAAGAAACTCTGAATGAAGCAGACTATGATGATGTCCCTTCAGAGGAGGCAGAAAGTGGAGACGATGGCAGCAAAGTGGATGCTTCCAGAACACTGCTCCGGCAGCCCATTTGTGTGTCCAAAGAACATACTTTTCAGGCCTATCTGACAATGCAAACAATGGATTCTGCAGTGAACCATCAAGTTAACCTCAGAAACTTGCAAGAAAGCATTGATACTCTGATAGGAAACCTGGAACGGGAACTCAATAAAAACAAACTCAATATTAGTTATTGATCATTTTGCTCTGCCACAGTTCCTGTTTGGTATGTCCCTTCCCTTGTTTACCTCCAAGAGAGAATAAGGAAAGGGATGAGTTTTGGATGGGGGTCTGTATTGTAATTGCGCTTAGCAGTGTTGGAGTTCACTGTATAGGTTAGTGCATTCATGTTACAGTCTCTTGCTTTCTCCACCACTTGAAAGCATGTTACTTTTTACGAAATGATTCTACGATATTCAATTCCTTGTCAAGGTACTATGCACTTAGGAAATTTGAATGTGTGATGCATTATCTCTGTCTTTGTTACACTGGAACAGTACAGTTTGTTCCTGAAACCGTAGCCCTGGTACAGATGTTCTCCCAGAGGAGAGAAGATTAATGTTGCTACTTATGTGATAATATGGGGCACAAACTGTAGGTAGATCACGTTCTATTATATTGACACCTTTTCACTTGCAATGCAAAGGCTGCTATGAAAAAAAAGGCTTTTTGATAGTTAAGTTGTATGAATATATATATGTATTCCTATATTAACACTTTCAAGCAACTATTTAAAACTGCAAAAATATTTTTCTAACTTTCATTTTGTACATATTTATATGTGAAAAACATTAGGCATGATTTGGTCCATTCTAGTTGCAGCAAGTCTTGTGCAGTATAACAGAATTTCTTCTCTCTTCTCCAACCTGGTGCTCTGAAGTTATGTTAGGCTACAATTCTGTCATTTCCCAGACAGCATAGTGATGATGGGTTGTGTGTGTGTGTGTGAGTGAGAGAGGGAGAGATGGAGATTACAGTCCAATGGATAGGGGTGGATTAACATAGGAAATATCATTTCTTCCTAGAGGGCAGATGCCTGGAGGCAGGCCCTGGCACTGTATGAGATGGTTGTATAAAATGGAATGATTGTTCACCACTCCTATATCTTCCCCATCCTTCCCCCCATGCCAGTCAAGTAGAGCTGCTGAGGGGGGGGGTTAGTATTTTTTATGCCCTATGGGAGATGTTGAGAGCACTGTAGAAAAGAATATCTGTAGCTCGCGGTTGAGCTGTGGAGTCCTTGGTGCTCTCTGAGCTTGGTTGTTTGCTCGCAGACGCTTCATTACCCGACTAGGTAACATCAGCACTGTAACTGGGTAATGAAATGTCTGCAAGCAAACTGCCAAGCTCAGAGAGCACCAAGGACTCCACATGAGAGCACTGTGCCTGTTTGGGCCATTCTAGATTTGAGTAAGGATAGCTGAAAAGAGACTTGCCCATTGTGGTGTCAAACAATCACACATAAGCAGTTGTGTGATACACAGGACAAGAGAGTAGTTGCATATTGAGATACTTGAAGGCTGCAACTAAAAACATACAAATTTATTTAAGGTATCTAAAATCAAAAATTGTCCAGACAGTATGGCCTGTTTGTCACACCTTTCTGCAATTCCCATTGTGAAACTAAAAATACATGTTTCTAGAGATGCTTTGGAGACTGATTGCTTGGCAGAGTCCATAGTTAGCTATTCTACCAAATACAATCAAATTTTTATTATGGTCGTAGACCAACATAACTATTCTACCAAATTGTCCACAATGCGCACATTTTTTAAAAATGTAATGTCCTTAAATGCAGATCTGTAGCCTGATCAGCTTAATGTTAGCATTGTGCATGAGCAATAATTAATGCATGGTCAAGGGAGCTGACTTTCTTAAGGCCTCCCCAGACATGGTGAACCATGCTTGGGCATTATCATGTCAGTTGTCCCCTGCATAGGGCGTTTTGCCTTTTGCCATGCTAATGGGAAGCTATTATATACTTTAAGCCTGTGTCCTTGATACATTTCTACAAGTTTCTCCACTGTAGGGAGACCCCAAAGAGTTCACCTCTTTTTCAAAGGTTGATTTGAATGAAGAAAGTGCCTTTTAAAATAATGTGTTTCAAAGGGCCTGAAACATTTTGAAGGTCTTCCTTCCAATTGGTCTAGCTTCTTTAATCCCAAGAATGTTGTTAAGTGCTAAGACGATCGATTTATTGTTTATCTTGCCAGTTTCCTTAAATGAGTATTGGCAGTTCTTCAAGCCTGCTCTAAGAAGGGTGAATATAATAAATCCTGATTGGATTGGTCTGCAAATTTTTGATATCCACTGTGAACCAAAGTAAATACAGGCCTGATGCAGATTTAAGTTCTATTCGCAGTCAAGCAATAAGACCCAAGCAATAATAAATCACAACCAGGTGCCTCTTAAAATATAAACAGTGTTAGCAGTGTAGTAGAGTACGTCTTAAATGGCAGTCCTTTAAAAATATCAGTTAGCCAGTAGAGGAAGCCATTATCTTTTAAAGAGCATTTTGAATCATGTCTATTTGCTTTGCATCAGCCTTTACCAACTGATGCCTCCAGTTCTTTGGGGATCACAACTCCCTGAATTCCAGCTAGGAATTCTGGGAATTATAGTCTTAAAATAGCTGGAGGACAAGGAAAAGAGTACTCTATATTATAGGTCTGGTTTTTTCCTGTTTCTTTACATTATCAGTTCTCAGTCTTTTCTTATGGACCTGGTACAAGTGCTATTTAATTTGTTCCTTGATATTGTCTGTTATAATTATTTTAGCTATTTATTTACAATAGGATGACTGAATTTGGTGCATGATTTTTGCCACATTTTTCTCTAAAGAAATATTTCAACATTTTATACTGTCTTATTAATTTATTATGATGATTATTAGTGTGGCAGTACACAACTACAGTCATTTCAATATAGCAGTATAGTTTGAAAAACATATATTTTAACCTGAAGCATTTATTGATAAGCTGATGTATTTTTTTAAAAGCATATGTACAGGAAGTGAATTATTTTTTAACTATAAATGTTAATTCTGAATAAAACCCAAAATATGAAAAATAACTTGATTGTATTTTGTAAAATGTTAGCGTTGTTTTAAGAAATACATTTTAAAGATAAGTCTATTAACTTGTGTATATAATTTTGGTTTCAAATAATAGATTGAAAAATTTTGAAAAAGTTGCCACAGGTGTAAATAATTTATATTTTCAGGGTCATTACTCTGCTATACTATGAAATGGGAAGAACACAGACTTAATCTTATGCATAAGTTTGGCTAATGGCTTGGACAGGCAAAGCTTTCACAGTTGATAAAAACAGATGGGTCTTTTATATGGTCAGAGGTTCATCTTGTCCACAACCCTGTTTTCGTGGAGGTCAAGCAGATGCCAATGGGAAGATCACAACCACGACTTAAGTACATATTTTCCCTCACCTGATTTCTCCAGCAAATGGTATGAGGGATATAAAAAGTGGAGCCAAGTCTCCTTCAGGTCTCTTTGACTTGGGGACGCCCCTGTTGTCTTGTGGCAACAGTATGGAAGTAGTTTGTCATGGTATTCTTTGGAGGTCTTTCAGCTTCCCTGAGTGCTCAGGTCAGTGTGGTGTTTAGGATCTACTTCCCTCTGCGGTGATTGACAAGCTGCACCTTTTCTTGGAGAGGGCTGACTGGCCATGTGTTGTTAGCCATGTGTTGTTTACTTCCCAGTTAGTCTGTTAACAATGGGCTCTAGGTGAAAATGCCCTTGAAGGAGGTCCAGAAATAGCAGTGGGTCCAAAATGCAGCAGGAAGGGTTCTGCTGGGATATTCCAGCTGGAACATATAACATTGTCTTGGCTAAGTTGTGTTGGTTGCCATTTGTCGTCTTAGCCAAATTCAAGGAGCTTCTTATTTATATAAATCCACATGTGGCTCGGGCTCCTTCTAGTGAAGAGATCCCTCCATATGTTGCTCCCTATTGACAAGGACCTTTAGCATGTGCTACCTTAGATGATCCCAAAATGATGAGATGTGCATCGTGACATCACGCAAGCTTCTCCTTTTGATACTTGTGTTGCAAGTCAGTTTTCATGTGACGTTGCAACACATTTTGTCCTTTATGTCCTTTATCTCCTCCCTGTCAATGCCCGTGAGCCTTTTCAATGGTGATACTAACACTGGAATTTTAAACCATGTTTAATTTGCTGCCAATTTTTAATTACTGATACCTTGTAATTTTTATGTACTTTTAATTGTTTTTGGTTCATTGTTTTGATTTTCTAGCGTTGTAATAGATATGATGCTATAATGTCAGTATTTTATTTTGGCATGTTAATTTTTGGTAATTATTTATGGGTTCTATTGTTAACCGCCATGGATGGGCCTGTAGGTTGGGCGTTTGTGGGTGCGTAAATGAACTAAATACCTCCAGTATTGAACATTACAATACATGTACTCACACATGCACACACACACACACACACACATATATGTGCACCTCTGAGCCGCTCAGATGTAAGTTCCACTGAATTCAAAAGAATCTCAAGCATGCAGCCTATGTTCATCAATGTTATAGCACGTGGACAAAATATACTGAGTTCTAAAATAATGTAAAGGAGGAAAAGTCTCTCAAATGGGAATTTGTATAATCACACACAATGCAATGGTGTGTGTGTAAAAATGGAATTATTGGATCAACCTATATTTATTTACTTCAATAAATATTGAAGTTTTTTAAAAAAATGCTTGGTACAATCCTACTTCAGGACAGGCTGTGTCTGCATGATGTCAACTTAAGTAGGTGGGGAAATTAAATGTGTAATGACTCACTATGATGCCCTGATGCTTATTTGCTTTTTAGAATATTCTGTCCATATAAAATAGCATTATTAAGTCAAACACCTAACTTTTATACCAGATAAGCATGCGGCATTTTGCAAAGATATTGCTTGCTGGCAGTATAACCTTGAAAACAGACTGATTAAATATACTGTAGGAATATATAATGGAGTCTTATATTTCTGACTGTCCTATTTTCTAATCAATTGCATACTAATATTTTTAAAAAGTATGACTGTATAATTAATAATACTTTGTAATATTACAGTGTGGTGTGGTGATTAAGGTGTTGGCGTATGACTAGGAGATCCATATTCAATCATTTTGGCCTTTGGATAATCTGGTTGGAAATTGTGAGGATTGAAGTCAAGTGGAGGAGGCAAGGAAAAGTCAATGGGGCAGCCATGAGCATGTGACTGAAATCCCATCCCCTTTTTTCATGAATGTGATGCATTATGGATCTAAAAAGGAGTGGGGTTTTGATTGTGCAGCCATAGCCACCATCTTAACTTTTTTTGACACCCGCAGTGGATGCTTCTGCTTGAAGTCCAACCCATCTGGAAGGCTTCTGGTCTTTGGAGGTGTCCCAATGTGACAAGGTTCTTTTTTTGAACTGGAGATGCATTGTTTTGCAAGGGTGGCAATTGACACACACACAAAAAGGACAGAGGAGGCTTTTATGCTTTTTACTATATATAGTGACATCATTTACAGAAGTCATATATAACAGGTATATAGAACACAGTCCCGGTGTTTACCTGGTGTCAGATTTTCTCTTAAGTCTCCCTCCCAGAGACTATTTCCCTTTCTCTCTCCTGCTTCCTCCGCCTTCCTCTCTATCTCCCTTCCCTGTTTCTGGGCTTGCCAAGAGAGAGAGTGAAAAGAAAGAAATGGGCTGAAATTTACCGTAGTGTGCTCAGCGTGGTTTGACCTCCTGGAACTGCTCAGCTGAACACCCATCGCTTCTCCGTTGGGGGGAAAACCTCTCTCAGGGTCTTCTGCCCAGTCCTTCCCCAGAGACCAGGGCTTCTCCAAGGACAGCCAATCCCCTCATTTCCCTCTGGGGTTTTGGGTGAAACCACCGTCCACAGGCAGCCAACCAGCCATCCCTCTTTTTTATTCTTGGGTCTTGGGTGAAGCTCACATCCCTCTGAGTCTTCACTTTCCTCTACCAAGGAAGCCTTCCTTGGACCCTTCTTCTCCCTCCCCATTCAGGAACCGACAACTGCTCCACACACTTAACTTCTCTCTCCAACTTTTCTTTCTAGCCACTCCATCTTGTATAGACTTTTTTCCTCTCCTCTCTACTTTATAGTCAGACTGGCAGCATGTCCTCCAGCAACTGAGGAGATGGGTCTCCCACCCAGGGCTCTAGTCTCCAACATCTATATACCAGGCTGGACCAATGGGACTGCTGTCTCAATTTCTCACCACACCGGCCCTGGCTAGCAGCCATGTCAGTTCATCAGGCTTTCTGACAGCACAGCTGCCCTTCAAAATTGTGGCCAGAATTGTGCTGCTTTCCCCCCTTTCACTCATGCCAGCAGAACAGCAGCCAGGACAGGCCAGGCCACTAAAACCCATATGCCACAGGAGGCTAGCCTACATTAAACCTCTCTTCCTTTTGATATGATGGCTGTTCATCAGAGAGATTGTAAAAATAATGCTTCCCAGGATAATCATTTGTGCAACTACAGCTTCTACTGATCAAGCCCCTAAAATCTGGCCATTTCCCAAGGGAAGTCACTATTCCCTGCTTAAAAAAATAGCAGTGCAATTTTCTGTTTTTAGGCAGAAAATTTCACTACTTCCATTCAGAGTAGATGCCACTTTGCATCAATACCCCACCTGTTGCAGTCAGGTGCACCTGATGGCCTGAACAAAGTTGGCAAGTCTACTTTAAATTATCCCAACGTTACTGAATGTTCTTTAAAAAGGATGCTCTTAATTCATCCTGGGCTTATTCACTCCTAACATGCCTACAGTTGAACTCCTTCTAAGTCTGAAGCCAGGGTGTAACCGCTGTGTACAAATCAAACAAGTGCCGTCTTCATTTTCAGTGGTCCCTAACTTTTTAGAGATGCCCTGGATAAGACAGACAGACACTAACAAGCATATCGATGCAGCATGACCTCTCAATTTACCTGTTATACTCTGACTTATGACATGACTTTATGGAGTTAACATACCTGGCAAAACAAATGTATTGCCTTTAAAAAGTTCTGTCCCTGCCTGCAAATGTGAAGCATTCAGCTGTGTTATAAGCAAATAATACAGTGTTGCATTCATTCATGTGCTGAGTAGCAGCTGCGTTAGAAAAAAAAATCAAAATCCAGCACACTGGTGCTTTCAAAACAAAAGGGGCTCCACCCTTCATCCTGCCTGAAATATTATCAAGGATTGTACCTCCTGCTACACTTTCAAACATGGAAACTATCATATGAGCATGACGGTGTTTGAACTCAGAATGTTGGCTTTGGTGAAAGGTGAAACTGGCTTGTAAGTTGATAATATAAAATGCACCCTTGAGTTGGCTTTGGGTTTTTGGTTTTTTGTTTACACGACAACTTCCACAATGCCATACTTTACAAAGAAATAGATGTTTATAAAATCTGCATTATGACATCACAGTGAATTAACATATGTTGCTTAAGTATACATTTATTATACATAATGTAGGGACAGGGAAGAACAGCACATGCATTTTTAACTGCTGTCTTTGGTTATTCCCACGGACAAAGGCACAAGGAGCAGTGAAATAAAAATAGCTGGGTGTCTGTTTGGTGGTAGGACTTGCAGCATTGTAAATTATATATGTTTGGAGTCACAGCTATTCTGAAGTTGCTCATTATTGTTAAGTAGTCAGTCACAAAACTAGACATTTCTGGAGGGGCTAAATTTATCTGGTCCCTTGAGTAATCCAAGTCGAAGCAATATGTTTTTCTCCAACTCCAAAAATTCTACATAATTTTGACTGGTCTGTTCTTCCATTAGCTCTCTTGATCGCTGACCACCAGGCACTTTCTGCAAGGGAGAACAATGGAGGAGGAGGGATGATAATCTATCCTAAAAAGACGGCATTCTTCCAAGTCTTGCCAGATACATCTTTACATCCCTGAGAAGAATTCTACTTTCAATATAGCCAGCAATATTTTATGCTAAATGTTATTTTTAAAGTAGCTTAGTACTCAGTAGGAGTCCTATGGGAGTGGGCAGCCATAACAAATTTATAGTGATGATAATATTTTAGAACAGCCTTCCCAGCTTGATGTCTTCAGAAGTGTTGGGAATACAACTTCCAGAATTCTCAGCTAGCATGGTGATGGGATAGCTGGGAATTCTGAGATTGTAGCTCCGGTATAGCTGGAGAGCATCATGTTGGGGAAGATCACGTCACTGAATTTCCTGTTTCAAAAGCTGCACAGTTCTCTACATGGATACTAAGGCTGAGACAACAAGAAGTTATAATCTCCCCAGAAAACAAAAACAAAACTAAAAAAAAATCAGTTGCTAATTCATTCAAACAACAAAACCTCAGAACTATTTCATGTCTATTATATTTAATATAATAGCAATCACATTTGTGGCAAAACTCCAAATAACAGTTAGGGTCAATAGACAGCTCTCCAAAACCATATCCCATACATTATAGACTCAGACATAATGCAAAACTAAAAAGCATATATGGATGTTCTGGTGGCAAACTTAAAAGCAACTTGTGTCCCCAATTCAAGTAGGAAAGAGTTGGTAATGTTTGATTTTAATGTATGAATGTAAGCCGGTCATTCAGTGGTTTCCAAAATATTTGCAAATATTTGTGCTAAATGTGATAGGATTTAATTTGGGTACCAAAGCTATTGTTCTACCAGGCAGGGGTACCATGCGACAGAGATAACTAGAGGGGGCAAAAGAAGAAAAGAAAGGAGACTAGAGGCCCAGCACTACTTTTTCTTTTTCTGCTTCCAGAAATTCAGAGCAAAGTGTGGATTCTTAACTACAGTTAGCACAAACCATCATTTGGTTTCGCATCTACTGGAAAACAGAATTTGTGGCTATTAAGAAAAAACAACAACAACCTTATAGAAAACCACCTGTTGCTGAGGCAAGTTAAAATGAAGTAAAAACTTGCATTTTATTTTTTTTCCCTTTTCCTCATAATTGGTTTCCTCAGACTGTAAATCTAAGAGTAAGGATTGTTTTAGTTTTTATTGGTTTGTAAGCTACTCTGAGACCTTTTTTGGCTGAAGAGTAGGATAGAAAGCCTTGTAAATAATAATAATAATTAATAAAGGGCTAGGGGCAATGACAATATTCTTCGTTACCGAAAACAAGGATCCTGAGGAAATTCAATTGGCCACACACACATTCACTTGGGAGTAAACCCACTAATTTACCTGGACTTCTTTCCTAATTAATTTGCCCAAGAAGTTTGTCAGTTAAATAACTTTAACAGCCACATATTAGCTTTTCTGCCTCTGGAGAAGATCTTACCATTCTCTTCATCAGCTTTTCCTGTTCAAGCACCACCCTTTCTTGATCTCTGAATTCCTGCCGCTTCTCAAAATATTCCAAGTGTTTGACTTCTCGCTCAAAGTAATGAAGAACACTGGAACGCTGACATTTCCAATGTATGTTTAGTTATGATAAGCATGATTTATCCATTAATAAAACATATTTACCTTTATATAACTACAGGAACTTTTCTTGTAATACAAGTATAAAAAATGGTGGAGGGGAAGAAACCTGAATGCTTCACAGTGGAAGAGTAGGATGTAAATGTAAGAAATAAAAATGAATGGATGCTTTTGTTAGGGTTGGGGAGTAGGCAAACCAGTGCCATCCAGATGTCTTCAACAAAAGTCTTGCATGGGCTGGCCAGTAACCATGCTGATGGATGTTGAAATCCAGAATATCTGGAAAGCACCACTTGCCAAACCCAATTGTAATTCTTCCCAAATGCAACTGCTGCAAATGTGATAATGCTACTTACTGTATAGCTGACTGATACTATCGTTTATATGTAATGAAAGTCTTCATCTTCTCCGACCTTGGCAGTTGCTCTGTGGGACTGCAGATTTGCCGCAGGGGAATGCACAGCTGCATTTGCACCATCCTATGGCTGTTCTCAGATTGGATGTCTCTTGCCCAATGTGCCCCGCATCTCATTTGTTTACTAGATGGCAGAGTGCCATAAGTTGGCCAAATCCATTCTATTCTGCAACTTTTAATACCCACCCACAAAAACTTATGAAATGGGTTACAAACCTCATTGCTGGAAGGGTGAATTAATGTCCATGAAATTTCTAAAATATGCAGAGTGCCAAAATCATCAGCAACTGCTAGGAAGTGTTGCTTTGCTGTAGGAGAAGATAGAAAGTATTATTGCAGGAGTGATAGAATATCACACATACGACTTCTAACCAGTGATAGAATATTTGCTTTCACTATTTATGTTGGTGAATGGGTGTGAAATGCTCAGTTTCAGAATGCATTCTACTTCTTCCCCAACCAAATGGTACTAAAATCTGCTAGTTTGAAAAATGATATTGGTCCATGACTTTGGCATATTCCCTATTATAGTCACTTCACCCACTTTATTTTGCTCATCACTAAATCTTTTACACTTGAATCCCAATTATAAGTAAATCTGATTTATGCTGTAGAGCATTAAATTGAGAGCAAATATTTATCATGAATACATACCATATATAACTGTTGTGCCAGAAACCTAGGTTTCAATTGTTGAAAAATGGCAGAGGCTAACTTACAGAATTACAGGTAGTCCTCAAGTTATGATGGCAATTGGGACTGGAATTTCTGTTACTAAATGGTGCGGCCGTAAAAGTCAATGTCACGTGACCTCATCACTTACCAACGGCAATCCCGGCACTCCCCGTTGCTGTCATTAACCGAATCCCACTGGTTGTTAGCCAAGGACCCACACCGATCCAAGCCATTCTCAGCTTGGTCCCTCCCAGCCCTGAACCTTGGTTCTTCCAAGGTAAGGGATTGCCTCCCCTTCAACTCCCTCCATTTCCTATTGCCTATTTCCCCCCATCTCTGCCTTTTTGGCCACACTGCACCCTGCCTTGCGGGGCAACAAGCAGCTCCAGAACTGCACAGCTCTGGGGCTGCTTGCCATGCCACAACTCTGGGGCTACAAGAAGCTCCTGAGCTGCAGCGCAGCATGAAGCCACAGCCACCCCAGCCTAATTCAGCGCCACAGTGTGAAGTTTCAGCCACCCCAGGAAGCCCCAGCCCACCACTGCAGCACAAAGCCCCAGTCCAGCCCAGCAGCACAGCATGAAGCCCCAGCCACAGTTGCCCTCATTGCCTTGCACTCAGCGGCTCCTGCCAACCTGTGCTCCACTGCCCCAGCTGACCTTCACTGCCTTTTTGCTCTTGCTGTTGATGAGGCATGCCTGGGCTGGCCCTTTGCGAGGCAGCTGCTGGCTGTGTGAGGCCTTCCTCCCCAGGACTTGCGAGGAAGCTGCTCCATGCAACCTCAGAAAGAAAGCCTTGTGCACCCAGCAGCTGCCTCGCAAAGGGCCAGCGGGAGCAAGAACACAGCGAAGGTTAGCCAGGGGTGGCGGAGCGCAGAGTGGCAGGGGCCGCGGAGTGCAGGAAGCCCAAAGGGCAGAGATAGGGGGAGAAAGGTGGGTGGGGGGAGTTGAAACACCTGTGCAGGCGGGCTGCCAAGTGCCCAAAATTTGATCATGTGACCTTGGGGGCGCTACAGCAGCTGTAACTCTGGGGACTGGGTGTAAGTACCATTCATTCAGCACCACCATAACTTTGAATGGTCACTGAATGAATGGTCATATCTTGAGGACTACCTGTATGCCTAACATGCTAATCCAGAAGGATGAACCATTAACAAATGCATTGATTCTCACCCTCTGTCACTGTTCATGGGTTGGTTAGCTACACTTCCAATGTTTATAAAGTCATATTTTAGTTTTAGTTTCTTAGCGGTTTTGTCATTCTGGTCAAATGGCACCAACATCTCAGATTTATAGATTTTGCTAAGTTTAACTATGGAACTCAGAGATGGCTCAGTATCATACTTTTTTATAGATTAGGCTAGTGCAATGTTTCTCAGTCTCAGCAACTTTAAGATGTGCTGACTAGGGAATTCTGGGAGTTGAAGTCTACACATCTTAAAGTTGCCAAGATTGAGAAACAATGGGCTAGGGCATATTTGCTACTAAGTCAGCCTCATGGCTTATTATGACATACGGTATCAATTAACCTTTGACCATGTGCTACTATTGCATTCTACATCATCACTGTTATATTGTAACTGAGATTCAGTGTCTTTAAAAAAAAATAATGAAAAGTCAGTTGGATAGAGTGAAAGCTAATGCTAAATCAGACTTAGCACTTCAGTTTTCCAAATTTTCCCTGCCTATTGCCTCCTACTTCTCTGCAAAGGATTCAAGATAGCATTTCTGCTAGCCAAATTGTAACTTCTGATGCACCATTGTAAAGTCATTTTATCAAGCTTTTATTACATGTATTTGTGTGTAACATATAGCTTAGCACTAGGCTTAGTTTACGAGATTCATATCTGGACTAGATCTCTATTACTACTGCTACTATTGTCGTTATTATGTTGCATCACTGACTTCCTTGCTTGCTTTTTTAGCAGCTCAAATCCATCTTATAATCATCTAAGAATTTGCACAGGTTGATATTTTCTGACTTGCCTTCAGATTTTTTTCTTAAATGTTGTCTTACGACTTGGCAGCACCCCTTTATACACAAGCTGCTAATTGCTAAAGAAAGACCACTTTTCAAGTAGGGAAATACAATTATAGCATACTGTATTGACATACAAGAATAGATCCAGGGCTTGATACTAGTAATGAGTGCAATACAGACATTTTGGGTCTGAGATGCTTCATGTGTTTTCTCCAATAGGTCCCAAATGTCAATATTTCCATCTTCTCTTCCAATAAAGAAAACACCTGGTCTTGATAAGGACCAATGTCCAACAGTATACCGCTTAGCTGTACAGCTTGATTTAAGGAGTGGTCCACACTGAATTAAAAACATAAGGGGAAAAAAAACCCTGGATAAATTCCAAAAGCTGATCCCCTCAAATTTACTTCACCAATTTGTTCCTGTATTTTAAGAATTTTTAATATATTCTCAGCTTGTTAAAAAAAACCACAACTATTTGCAATCACAGTTCTCAAAAATCTTATCCTGTACAATCAGATGCAATTCTATATACAAATACTTTTTACAGTTTTGCTAATCTAATTATATCAACTTAAGCTCTATTGATTTCAGTTAGTCAATGAGTCTGCTCTTATGACAGGAAGTTTCTAAAAAATGGAATTAATTTAGCAAGAAGGCAACATTTCCCCCAAACGGTTATTAACACAAAACTGCTTGCTTCTACCTAATATATACAGTATATTTCAAGAAAACGAAGCCCTGGCAAAGAAGCAAGGTCTGTTTTTTAAAATCTCAGTGGATTTAATTACCAGCAAATTCTGTCACATCCAGAATTGTGCTTCAGTGAAAAGCTAGTAAGTTTTTCTAGTGCAGAGCTACTCCTAAGTTCAAAAGAGGCTGCAACTTGTTTCTACCCCTCTACCCCTCTACACCAGAGTTGCCTTCTGTTTTAAATTTTGATCTGCAACTTCTTTTTGGAGATTTCTGATTCCAGAGAGACACTTTACCGTAACACCTTCTTTCCATATTGCAAAATTCCAGCCTCCAATTGTAAGAATTATATCTTTGAAAAATGGAGATCTTTGCACAGTGTGAACAAGCCCATCATGGATGTTGTGTATATTAGTTGGTTTCTGACCTTAAGCAAGGGGAAAAAAGGTAAGCTTTTGTACATGAATACAAAATTTTATTATTAATATTTACTTGTTACATTTATATCCCACCTTTCTTCCAGGGACTCAAGGGTCATCTTCACCCTCCTAATTTTCTCTCACAGGTTTGAGCTAAGAGGCTGGCCCAGATTTACTCAATGAGTCTCCTGGCTGAGGGTAGATATGAACCCAGATCTCCTTATTCCTAGTCCACTACCTTAACCGTGGCATTACTCTGGTGCACTCACTTCATCTTCCTAGTTCACATGGTTGTTGAGAAATGTTCAACATATTTGAGGCATTTCCCCATCAAGGGAAGTCAGAATGAAAAGTTCTCATCCAAATCAGCCTCTAGTAACTTTATACTTATCTTAATTGATGATTAAATATTGAAAAAATGGATTGTCAATTCTTTCTAGTCTAGACTCCTTGGAGCTGCAGCAAAAGACATGCAGTTGTCTTTAAAAAAGATACTATTCTGAATGTTCTTGCTCTACTATTTTTCACTCCTTCCACGGGATCCATGGGGATTTGAAGACTATTTAATTGTTTTAAGTCAGCCTTCACCAAACGTGTGCTCTCAGATGTGTTGGATTTCAAGTCTATGCTGACTGTGGGATCACCTGAATTAAAATCCACCCCTTCTAAAGCACACCAGGCTGGGAGAAACTTCTATAAGAAATGCTTTGATATTCCTCTTTCTGCCTCTCTCTCCCTCTGACATACATATACCCACAAACACCACCCACAAAATATATCACTCTCTAACTTTATTATCTGTATTTATATCTATATCTATATATCTATATTTATATCTATATAATCATCTACTCTATCTATCTATGGCTCTGGGCAGTAAAAAGAGAGAGAGATCATAAACAGCTCCAAGACAATATATAACCAACATCACTCCCACCCCTTATCTAGCACGGGCTCAACCTTCACTCTACCCCAGCTTGGGAAAAAAGCCAGGTCTTTAATAGCTTCCTGAATATCACTGGGAGAGCCAGTTTGATGTAGTGATTCAGGCACCAGGCTAGAAACGAGAAGACACTGACTTCTAGTCCTGCCTGAGGCACAAAGCCAGCTGGGTGACCTTGGGCCAGTCACTCTCTCTCAGCCCTAGGAAGAAGGCCAGGGCAAACCGATTCCAAGGTTTGGAGAGAGATCATCCCACAAGGAAGACTTGCCTCCTGGTCCTACTAGATGACACTGCTTGATTCATGGGACCCAAAGTGCGGCCAGTCTAGCTGATCTCACTGGATATCACCAGATGGCAGAAACCACCAGAGACAGGAGGCCCCTCAAATAACCAGGCCCTGTGCCATTTGCTAGTGTGTTCAGACAACCAATTTTTAATACTAATTCAAAACAACAAGATAATTAGTATTTACAGAAATCCAGCATATTTCTTGTGCTTTAAAGTTGTTTTTATCTCTGAAAAACTCATTACCCGGGTCCCACAGCAGTCTTTAGAAACACTGAGAAATTTAAGACATACTAAGCAGTCTTCCTGAGTCACCGTCTTTTTCCATCTTCCAGTCTGAATAAAGAACTTCACCATCCTGCAATGCCACAAAAATGTAATTAGTAGAGACAGCAGGAGTTGAGATGAAATATTGATTACAGACTTCAATCTCCTTTGAAGTTTACAAAACTGCTTGCAAATGGAAAGTATTTTCAGCATTATCTCAACATTTAGATCTTTTTGGTCCGAAAGCTACTACAATGCAGAACTGCTTGTCATGTTAAAAAGCATTTTTAAAATATGCCTTATAATGTAATCCTTTCTTTTAAAGAATTTTTGGCAAGACACTTGTATTTATGGCCCAAATAACAAAGCTTTAATCTATTCTATAGACTGTCTGAAAGCTTGGTTTTCTTAAATATGATAAAAAGCTCTTTTCACCTTGGATACATCCTCAACAACTTTTTAATCTTCTGCATTATTTACTTATATTTCTGAAACATCACATTTTCAGAATAGTAAAGTTTGCTATTGCTTGTCTAAATGGGTTTAAAATGGGTTTAAAAAGCAGCATGAGAAAAAAAAATAAAACAACTTTATAATCTATTTTAGTAATATTTACAGCATGATGTTTTCCATGTTTACATGGAAGTCAATCTCATTCTGTTCTGTGGAGAAAGTATGCAGGGGTTGATACTGTGAGATTTACAAAGCCAAAGACTTTGTGGAAGGGATAGCTTGGAAAAAAGAGAGGGCTGTCTCAGTCTTATTTTTTTAAAAAAATAGTAAATATTCTTCTTAACTAATTCTTTGCATTGTGATAATGAAGATGTAGGTTCCACTTTAAAAAGTTGCATCATTACAGAGAACGTGAACATATTTGATACTCAGGAGTAAAGGATTTTAAGCTTGAACACTCACATAAAGTCTTGCACTACAAATTCTTATAGTTTGACACAATGGGTACCTCAGCTGGGATGGTTACTCTCTATTTTCATGCAGAAAACCTACTGCTGGGATTCCAACCATCTATAAATTAGACTAAAATTACATTTGTTATGAGAACATGCCAGAAAATAGCAAAAGTATTTCAGGGAGGGAGAGAGGGAGGGAGGGAAAGAGAGAGATATCATATCTGCTACTGTTGTCACAAAAAAAGTCCCACATCTGTCTTGACAGATCAGAGTGGGCAATGTTTGAATAGTTAGAGGCCACAACTTAGCCTCCCAACCAACTGGAAGTTTGGAGGAGGCCATGCTGATGTTACAACATCAGTAGAAAGGATGGCGCTAATTTTTCCAGCACTTTTTTACTTTTTTGGAGAAGACTAGAGTGACAACAGCAGCTGGAAATCTATGGGAAGGAAACTGCTCAGTCTGAATCTTTAATCTCTTGCCCACTCTCCAAATTGCCAGAAACCATCTTGCTAAAATTCAGCCATTTTCCTTCATTTTTGATTATCACAATCTGGGGATGGTGGTAGTCACAAACGGGATGCTGGGAGCTCCATACAGGATGAATAAGAGCTCTTGGAAGGATATTCTTGCTGTCAATAGCTCATGAGGTGACCTATGCGAACTGCTGTCTGCAAAATGCCCTGCCGAACAACCTGCTTGCCAGTGGGGCTATGCCTGTTGTCTGGGTCAGCTTAGTTATGACCAAGCGCCATACCTCATGCAAATAAAAAAGCTTGTGTCAGAAGCTGGGAGATGGGATAAGGCAAGAGGGGGAAGAGACATTGAGGTGCTTTTGAGCTTAAACAAACATTGCTGCAATTTCACATACGCCGTAACAACACTTTCAATAGATCAACTCAACTCTCAGACACGACCGACATAACGAGAACAGGTAGATGCCAAATTGGTGTTAAACGCTGCAAAATTCCATGTGGAACCGCAATAAGAGTCAGCTCTGGCTGGCCAAACATTACAAAGCAGTATTCCTCTTCCCTCAGAGCTTTTCATGGGAAAGTTTTGATCCTGATGTGACCACATGCTGATTCTTAGTAACTGCTTATAAGGACCATCTCAACAAATTTCCAATAGTTCCAATTGGACTTTTCTAGTCCAATAGTCTAGGCCTGACTAGAAAAGTCCGAATGTAACAGCATTTTTACCTGCTGCTTTCTTTGCTAATCTGTGTATTTGTGGATGCTTTCTCAATAAAATGCAGGTCCTACTGGAGTTGCTTTACAAGCTCAGTAACAACATCACGTTCCTGAGATTCTCCAGTAACATTACAATGGCAGCAATGACCTTTATTCAGGATAACTTTTTTGAGCTACTTATTGAATGTGACTCTTCCATTCATAGAAAAAAATAGCCAAAGATAGTGAACTGACTTCATGTTGAATTCCAGCAATGGCAATCAAACCCACACACAAGCCTGCATAAATGGATTCACAACTTGTTTTTCTAATGATGGTGATTTGTGATAAGAATTCACTGATCAGCTTACAACTATCTGTTCATACACTGTGTCTTGCATTCTCCAGTTCTCCCATCTTTCTGAACGTAAGCGATCAATTTGCACCCCAAAGAAAAACTTACTTCAGTTCCAACAAAAAAGCTGGTGTTTATATTTTCCAGCAGCTTAAGAGGTTTCGCTGATGTGCTTTGTATCTCTGCATATGGTAGTTTTTCTGTGAATACCGTTGGCTTGTTTTGGAGTGATGTTTTGTCTACAAAAGAATTTGACTAAGATTATTGTGATGTAAAACTTACATCATCAATTTTTTTTGTTGTTGTTCATCAAAGTAGGTTAGCAGATGGCTGGGAGAAGAGAGATGTTTTAAAAATTACATAGGTTAATGGGAAACTAGTCAACTTTCTGTTTGGCTACATAAGTAGGTCTGCATAAATTAAATGCTTACTAACTGAATGGTTCAGGGAAGCTCACAGGTTCCTGGCCTGGCAGAGAACAGAAATGAAGAAACTTCGTGGTCTTCAGTTTAGCAAAGTTAAAAAATAATTCTGTATTATCCACTAGGTGTAAACTCAATGAAGCCAAAGTTCATAATATTATCTAGTGATTAGAAGGGACACCCAGTAGTTTTTCTATCATGTAGTATACTGAAGAATTGAAAGCTTACATATTCTTTTGTACCATTTTGGCTGGTTCTAATAACACACACACACACACACATACATATTAGAAGACAAATACATTTGCAAACATCAATGTCAACTGTATGCATTCTTGAGCACCTGCCAAGGCATATATATGCAGGAGGAAGAAGATAAACAAGAATATGTTCAGCTAATGCCAGGATATTTTAAGCCATCCTCTTCTTCCCACTTATTATCCTTTCCTTTATTTCACTTATAGTCTCTCTCTGGGTGTTGGTACGGATGGGGTTTGAGGTAATAAGGTTATGGATATATAATGAGGGAAAGACAAAGTACTCAGAGAAGAAGTGAACTGAGGCAAAAGACTCCCAAAAACTGGAGCAGACATTGTACCCAGGTAGATAAATGAAGTGTTGGCAGAGGTTTTAACTTAAAATTGGCTGTACAAACTTACAAAAACTCAATTCCGATTATTTATTAGGAGACAGAAGCATCCACAGAGGGAATCAAGGGGTCAAATGATGAATGTGGAATTGCACTGATGCAATGCACGCTCCGCCTCTTCTCTACCCGCATCACGTGGCAGCAGTTGCCTCTGTTGGGAGCCCATACTGGCATTTGGATAAGATTATTCTCTTTTGCTGTTCTCTCGGATGCACAATTCAAAATTATGCTAATTATTGATACATTTCCCCAAAACATAAAAACTGTTTACCTTGAATTTTGGTGTGATAGTGCTCTTCTCTGAAGCTCAGTTTTGTTGGACTGTATTCAGCACTTGTATCTGCCTTGGGCAGACTGATCTGTTTTAAGATTTTAAAAAGGTGTCTGACAAGACGCATCATGGAAAAGACTGAGATATGTTCATGATATTGAAAAGCAATGCCAGAAACTTATTTATGCTAACACAGTCCTCTTAAAAACACAACGTTTGGGTTGCAAATATAGAATGCAATCCAACCAATGTTATTCTAAAATAATTCATGGTTCCTAGTTCATAATAGCCACCGACAAACTATTAAATGATGCTGTAATTAGCATCTGACTGCTTGATTTGTTTCAGTTTTTAACAATGGATTTTAAAACAATATGAAAGGGAAAACTCAGAAGAATTTAATACTACCAAGTCTTCTAAGAGTAGTATCAGTGTGCCTTTACTCTTTTAATAAAAATTGGACATTTCCTATTAAGATAATGCTATTTTTGGGGCATTTTTATTGCATTTAAAAATGTTACTGTTAAATTTTCTTAAAAGACATTTCACATTAGTAAAAGGTAGTAATAAATATATATGTCAACTACATAATTATTATAAAATAAATTATTGGCTTTGAAAGCAAAAAATGAACTTAAATTAAACAAAACAAATAAAAGCTTTAATGTATGTAATTACTTGAAACCAAAAAAGAGTCATGAATGGGCATGACCAAATCATATGAGTTAGACAACTCTTTTGCAATACCAACGCACAAACTTAGATATCCAATCTTCTTAAAGCATTCTTTAAGGAGTTCAATAAATACGGTACAAGATTTTCTGATGGATTAACTTTATCCTGGTGGACTGCTTTTAACTTCATCACCAGTGAATTGATTTAAAAAAGGAGGGAAGAGGATACCTCAAGGAAAGAAAATAGGAATGAAAAAATCCAACTGAAAACAAATGCTTTTGAACCCATAACTCTCTTTATATTAGGCAAATGTTATAACCACTACACTAGTGTGATACTCCTATAATGCTGGTTGTAGCAGAGATTAGGGAGCCAAACTTGGGAAAATGCAAGAAAAAATGTGTATTTTAAAGCTAAGTGCTGGGTGTACACACGTTGACATGTTGATATTTTAACTTCGTAAACAACATTTAGTTTTCTAATTGTTTTTCTGGCATGGAAGGTAGGAGGGCACAGTGACAGGGGAACTGCCTAATGAGGGCTATAGGAGCTGATAGGCCAGACTGAATACCTTGTATGTTACTATCTCAGTGTCCCGAGCAGGTCAGAATTTTCTTAAACAGGCTTAGAGTCCAGCTGGCACAAGCATGGGACAGAAGTAGCTTAAGGCTGTAATGTGGAAATGTCCTGATGTCTTCCAAAAAAGCCACTTCAAATACTACTTAAAATACCACTTCCTATAGTTGGAATTCCCCCTCCCCTTTTACTGGTGCATGATCACAATTTAAAATTGAATCAATGCTGCATTTCTCAAACAAAGTAACCATCAACTGAGATATTAAAAAAGAATCTAGTCTTGTACAAGTGCCATGTGGAGTAGATGAAAAGGTATTCTTTCGCACGTTTGGATTAGATTATCTCCGTATCTCTAGTAAGTTAAATTCCTGGTTGCATGCATGGAGAACATTCCAATTTGGACAGCTGATTTTTTTTCCATGAAGTTTTATTCCAATTTGGTTCCAGAATTGAATCGAAATTCCCAGCAACAATTATCTGGTTGACCTGTTACCCCCAAAGTTTTGCAAAACAATTGCATAAAATAGAAGGTTTATCTTTAACTGATCTGTAAAAATTCATCCACGCCATCTGGCAATTTCCATTTTTTTAAAGACAAAACTTTCATTGCCTTCTCTTTTTTGGTGCCTTTGGGGAAGTAAGATTGAGCACCTGGGTTTCTGGAATATGGAAATCAGAGATGATCTTTCACTGTGGCACTGTTTCAAGATAGTTCTTACATTAATTTGTTTATAACCATAGATTTGCTCCATCTAGCATGAAAGACAGCAAGACTTTGTATACTTGTTGCTGGTAAACTCATACATTTAAGGAGAGTGTTTTGCCTTTTTGTCCAGCTTGTGTGCTTTTTACAGATATCCAATTGATACAATGGAAATCAAGATTCTGGAGTAGATAAACCTTGAATCTAATCTAATATTGCTTATCTTACCTGTGTAGCCTCAGTTCCCTGAGTAAAATGGAAAAACAATAATGTTCTGTTCATGTATAGAATAGTTCTCATACTAAAAAAATCAATTTCTGGACATATTAAACAATAATGATAATCGCTGTTATGTAATACCCCTATATGAACCAAATTTCATCGAGAAGAGAAGAGAAGAGAAGAGAGGAGAGGAGAGGAGAGGAGAGGAGAGGAGAGGAGAGGAGAGGAGAGGAGAG